GACCTGGTTCCGGCCAAACAAATCAGCCCCACACCATGGCGGAGCCGGGCACGCTCGTGCGCCGCTCGGGCCGGAGGCAGCTTCGCTCTTGGGTCGGAGGCCATCGCTCTTGGGTTGGAGGCCATCGCTCTTGGGTTGGAGGCCATCGCTCTTGGGTTGGAGGCCATCGCTCTTGGGTCATCGCTCTTGGGTTGGAGGCCATCGCTCTTGGAGGCCATCGCTCTTGGGTTGGAGGCCATCGCTCTTGGGTTGGAGGCCATCGCTCTTGGGTTGGAGGCCATCGCTCTTGGGTCGGAGGCCATCGCTCTTGGGTCGGAGGCCATCGCTCTTGGGTTGGAGGCCATCGCTCTTGGGTTGGAGGCCATCACTCTTGGGTTGTATTAATATAGATAGCTTTTGTTATGTTATTCCTCAAATCGAGCTCTGTCTCAAGGACCGCCAGGCGAGACCGCCAGGGGGCCAAGGTCTGTTTCGTCCACCAGCACGTCCTTTGGGTGGCTTCTTGTAGGCCAGGAAATCCCGGTCATGAGTATAGCCTTGGAAACTCTTTTTGGTCACTGGAGAGAATGGCATGCAGTCTGCATTTCTTTAGTTGTCGAGATTCTTAGGCAAACTGGATCTGGTGGCCCATCCTCTTTGGCATAGTATTCTCGACGCAATCTGCTTGGGTGTGCACGGCGCCAAGCTTTGTTGTGAGACCTCAATTATCGCCATTGAACAACCTTCTCACATCTTGCCATCCTTGAGGGTCTCACCAAACAATCAGGTTCATTCGCGTGCCAGACTCAATATCGTCCGCACCATGGCGACGATTGCCTGGATGAATCACTGCGCGCCCCACCTGAGAAGCATCTTTCCTTGCTGATTGTGCCAGCTCTGTGGTTTGTCACCTCTGCGCTGTTATTCCCAACGCGCCTGATGATGATAAACGTGAGATGCCTGTCAGGTCACTGTCAGCCAGCATTCACACAGCAATGCTTTTGCTTTGAAGCCCACAAGCCTTGCGATGGTCTGCAGCGCCCATGTAGCCACAGAACGTCAGGGTGGCACCAGTAAAATCAAAACCTTTCATTCCGGCTGAAGCTTTCAGAAAACAACATCAATAGCACACCCACATTAAGCTCATGAAATTGCAGGGCACGATGGATCGCATTTTGCCTAGCAATGTGCTTCAGTGCATTGTGACAAGGCCTAGGCAAACATTGAAAGTGATATCCTTAGTTGAGACGCCTGTCCCATATCAAATGCTGCTTGGGGCATTAAACGCTTCATGCAGACTTCCAGTTGGTTCGAAAGGTTGAAGTGAATCCAAGGTTCAGAATCATCTGTGTGCATGTCCAAACCCAAATCTTCCGCCGCTGTGTAGCGGACTATGAAGGAATGATGTGTATCAAATTGGGAAGCCTGGGAAAGAAGCTGAAGAAACATGGAACACGGACACTACCATGCGCTCATGGAATTGAGCTTGTCATGTCGTTTGTTTACTCCCCAAGTCTTGCCTCTTCCGGAAAAAGCCTCTTGGCCTACAGATGTCGCAAGTGGTTGCAAGCGTTCGCAAGTCCACAGAATAAGATCCACAATAAGACACCAGAATGAAAGCTACATCTCCAACTTTCAACCTCCAAGATGCAATTGGCCAAATGTACCGCTGCTGGAACTCAGTGATCATGGGCCGCATGCCAATCTCATTCACGATCACTCCTTAGATCTTTTCCACCTTCTACGAGATGTGGATCTTATGATCAGTCTGCCTTTGATCCCCTGCAAACAAGAGTAGACTGCCGCTGCGACAGGTTTGGATGAGTTGCCATAGTTGTTCATTGAGTTCGGCCGCCTGGCTGGAATCTTCGAGGCGTAAAAATTATCGATCTCTGCGTTGAAGAGCTTCACGAATTCCTGGCTGAAGCAAGGAAAGGAGAAGACGCCTTCCACTTCCTGACCTGAGACTCAAAGGAATGTGTGCAAAATGGTCGGATGAAATAAACAAATTGGATTATTGAGAAGCATCTAAGACAAGTGCGCAAGTGGCTACATATCTCGTTTGGCTTTTTGTCGCCGCTTTCTTTGCATGCGTTGACAATCTCCTAGGCGAATCAAGATTGCTGGCAATTCTTGTTGAATACATTAACTGAAACATCACCAAGGAACTGCTTGATAACTCGACATGTTGTCCAGACTGCACCGCTTGCTTCAGATGAGATGCCAAAAGTTCGGGAGCTACCCAGCTCTCTGGAATCTTTGCTTGAAACAATTCAGCATGCTTTCGCAGCCTGAGCACAAGTGATACATTTTAAATAGAGGAATACAGAATCATCCTTCCAAGCCGTGACCCCCATCACAGCGCTTATCCAAGCAAGTGGCCGCTTGTATCTCCGTGCTGCATCGGCAGAGTCGTCCAAGTCGTCCTCCTGCAGTCGCAGACAACGAATGACATCCCAGGAGCTACTAGTAGCTTCTTGTTCCTAGTAGAAATGCCTAGTAGCATCCTTGCTCCTAGTAGTAAGGCCAGGAGCTACTAGTAGCGATGCCCTTGTTACTAGTAGCTTCTTGTTCCTCAGAAAACGGCAAAGTCATCCAGATTCGTCACCGAAATTGGCCTCGCACCTCTTCCACTGAAGGACTCTGCCAGCGCTCTAAAAGGCTTGTGACAAGTCCCATGGCACCAATGGTGCGCTTGTGCTGGTGACAGCACAGAGAAACGGTAGAGAGACGGAGAAATCGGAGAAAACTTCTAGTTTTGGTGTTGGTTTATCTTGGAAAGAATGCTCTGGCTGGCTGTAGCAGCGTAGCAAGCTTAACCTTTCTGAAGATTATTTACATTTGTATATATCGTGGTTTTTGACGTGAAGGTGGTGAAGCAGGGGCCGCCCAGTGGGTCCGAAGCTACTTGTGGCACTTGAGCTGTTTCGTCAGGTACCACAACGGATTTGACAGATCACAAGACAAGACTCTTGTCACTTTTTTCAAGGGAAAATGCAGGAAGGAAGAAAGAAGAGGTGAAGAAGGATGGTAAGCATTTATGCTCCGTGGCCATACCTTCCTCATTCGTCTCCTTTTTCTTCCTTTCTTGAAATGCCCTTGCGATGGCCTGCAACCTAGAACCGATGGCCTCCAACCTAATAGCGATGGCCTCCAACCCAATAGCAAGGACCTCCAACCTACTAGCGATGGCCTCCAGTCATCCCTAAGTGCTGACTTGTGGCAAGTTTCAGTCCGTGACTTCATCCGTCCAAGCGATATCGGCCTGGGCCCTGGTCTACCACGGGTGCCCGGAAAGCCGTAGCCGGCCTTGACTGTCTTTCTGCAGCGTGTGAGGCACAAAAAGCAATCTGAGTTTTCAAATCAGGCAGACCCTGACAATCTGGTCATCAAGACCCTGACGATCTCAGCACACCAGCAGAAACCAGTGCTTGGCCAGCCTTGGGGGATGAGTGTGACAGCTTCATCTGAGCAAGTGCCACAGCTGCAGGGTGAAAGCTGTTGTTTTTCAGAACAATCCTCGGCTCCAGTAATGGAGCACTGTTTTGGTTCACCTCCAGTACTGGAGCCCCTGGCATTGCTTTGCTGCAAAGGTTCCATCATCGTTGCACCTTGGACCTCATGCTGATAGGCGGATTATGCTAGATCAACATGTCTAACCCTTGTAGTTTGTGGGAAAGACATACCCAAGGCCGTAGGTTCCGTATGCACCTACCTTACCTATCCATGCCTTAGTTCTCGCAAATGCGTCGACGTCTTGGTCTTGCAAGGCCTTTTCGACTGGCCTTAGAAATGCCCAGGGCCGCACGGTCTGCCACCAGGCCGTCCGCCAGGGGTCTCCCCTTCCCACTGAGCCAGTCACGAAATTCTCCCACGTGCCGCGGAGCAGCAGACTGGATGCAATGGGGTCCTTGGACCTGAGAGCGGTGAAAGAGCATCGGAGCAATGAAGAAATCAGAGCTTTTCGACTCTTCAAAGGACTCTTCGGTAGAAGGACTCATGAGTTTCTGGCCGGTTGCAAGTTCTGCATAATTTGTTTCAAAGTTGTCTCTTCTGAAGGCTTTTCATCGAAGGTCAAGGCAGAAATGTCCAGCAACCTCAAGGAATCTTCATCGAGCATCTGCACAGCTTTCGCCATGCTCTTGCCAATGATTTCCCATGGATTCTTAAAGGCACCACCTCCCAGCGGCATCAGGAAGACCTTTCGCGGTGGGCGTCCCTCTAGGGGACCCAAGTGTTGTTTCTCTTTCTCCGCTGCGTATTTCAAAGCACCATAATATTGTGCAAGCAGAATCAACTCTGCCACCTTTATCTGATAGTCCGTGTCCCCGCCTTTGTTCACATATGCGTCAACTGGTACTGCTGAAGCATAGACTAAGCCCACTTTGTGGCTTGATCTGGAAAAGCCTTTCAAGTCTGGCTTCAAGCCCCTCGCCGGGACATCTTCCATCACCAAAGTTCGCAAGGTATTTAATCGAGCCTCCAGCTGCTCCAAATGCATCACCACCGTGTAAGTATCTTTGACATTTAAATATCCATTTACAAGTTCAAAGCCAGGAATGTCGGCGATCTCGTGAATGGCGTTGATGCCGCCGTTGTTGTTCTTGGCATTGGCTGCATTGTCCAGAAGAAACTGCGCCACCGCCGGATGTGAGGCCAGCTGCCCTCGGGGTCCCCCCGTGTCATCCTTCTTGTAGTCATCAACGTGTTCCACGACACTGGTGTGAGAGGGATATTCAGCTCCATTCATCTGAGAAGGTAGGACAAACAAAGCCTTTGCATTTTCTTCCTTCTGGATCTCAAACATCACTTCTGACGAAACCATATGGAGGTGTGTAAGTTTTGAAAAATCATTGGGCACAAACTTCAGAGGCGCATCCTGTATCTTTTTGCAAAGAAACCGCCCAACTTTCTCGGTACCTCCATCCTTCTCAGACGACTCCAGCCATCCAGTTTGAGGATCAAAGCTGTATCTACCACACAATCCACTCAAGCACCACATGCCCTCGAACTTTGAAATGATTCCAACATAAGCACCCTTATCTCCAGGCACACCACTTCCAGCCTTAGAACTCGGAACGGCAACAAACAGCACATGGCCCACATCCCCCACAGAAATCATGTGAAGGGCCTTTAGTGGGATGATGTGTTTGCCTCCACTGAGAAGCCATATCAAACCTCAGATGAGGCTTGGAGACGACACACGAGGCACCTCTCACTCTTGCAGAAAAAATGTTAGTTCCGGACAAAGAATCGCTAGAGCTCCCACAACAACACCGATCCACCCAGGAAGATGAACGCGTCGCCTGAAGGACCAGCGGGCGCACGGGAATGACGTACCGTCGAACGTCGCCCGGCGCAGTGCAAGTCATCTCTGCACTCCTTTTGTAAACTCCAATTGCTAATTACAATTCTAATTAAATTCTTCTTGTTACTACTAGTATATAAGGCACCTGTTACTAGGAGCGATGCACTTGTTCCTAGTAGTTTCTTGTTTCTATTAGCTTCTTTGCTCCTAGTAGCGATGCACTTGTTACTAGTAGCTTTTGTAAAGCCCGGAGAGGGGGTAGGCCGCTATAGAAGAGACAAGTTAGAAGCTATTAGGTACTGGGTGCTCCTAGGTAGGACGCAGGATAGCTCAAGCACTATTCATTTGGTTCTTAGATCTTCAGGAAAGCTGAAAGGGCACAGGTGCACAAACACCAACGTCGCCTCACATCGATAGCCGACCTGGAGCTCCTGGCCACATCAGCTGGAAATTCCATATAAGCGGCTTGAGAAATGAATAATTTCACACGAACCGTGGGACTTCAAGGAGTCCAATTTTAGGATTGCTCTGATTTCCTTCCTCCCTGACTTAAAAAACCACTTCCTGCTCTGCCTTTCTTGCTGGTTCTGCAGGTTTGGGGGAAGCTCCACCTCATCCAGCAAAAAATGAACAGCCAAAACCGTCAGGCAAAACTGCTTGAAGCAAAACAAGCCAGCTGTAATAAAATGCCTAGACTTGAGATGAGTGAAGTAAGTGTGTTGTGATATATTATATATTTCTTCGAACCTCGCCTCGAAGGCTTGCATGGCACATGGAAAATATCTAGACTTTCTTCGGGGGTTTGGAAAGCGTGAACGCTCACATGGGGGCTTTTTGAGTTGTTGATGGTTGTTGTGTTACCACACTTGAGAAAGACAGCCAGTTTCTGAGCCAAAATACGAGGCATGAAAACCTATTTTTTGTTTTGAAAGCCTCTTGGTACTGAAGTCATGTGCGCTTCAGCAGCAGCATCCGCTCTGCACCCTACGTACATCCTTTTCCTGGGAAAACCGTGGAAAAGCGTCTAAGACGCCTTCGATTCCCTGCGGGTATCAAAAGCCATGGATCCATTCGGATCTGGACTAAACTGCGCTGGTCATCGATGTCGATATCCAGGTCATCCCCGTTGTCCCAATCGGAGTCATGGCCATCGCAAACTTCTCAAAGACTCTTGTACATAAAATCAACGTAGAGATGTCCAAGAATGCAAAAAACGCAAGGACACATACAAATCTTCGCAGCAGCACTGGTCTGGGAAACATATCCTTGCCTCTCGTAGAGCATCTTTGCTGGATTGTTGCTGACAACCTCAAGCTTTACAGTCTTACACTCTCGTTCGCGGGCCTTGCTATCCACCCAAGCAAGCAGTGTCGTGCCTAACCCTTTGCCGCGCACCTTGTAAGACACCACAATCCGCTCCAAATGACACGTGCCAGCGGATGGCTTTGTTTGGAAGACATAAGGATCCATGATATCACCCGGAGTGTCATGGAACCCTAGCTGCGCGAAGCCAACTGCATCTCCATCGAGCACAGCGACTGCGTATGCTTCCAATTTGGAGTCTGGCACTCGAGCTACTGCGCTTGACAACTTGGAAGCCATTCCCAATTGGGTGCTTCCAAAGCAAACACAACAACGCTTTGAACCAAATCCATCATAGTGAAGAGATGCCACCTGCCTCACAAGTTCAGGAGGGCTATCACGTTGCAAACATTGGATCTGAATTTCACTTGCTGTGTCTAAAACTTGTTGCTTTGGAGCCTCCAAGCGTGCTCCAATTGCTGACATGTCACGAGGCGAAGGAATCAGATGTGAAACCAGCTGGCAGTGAAACCAGCTGGCAGTGCTGAGCCCAAATGCAAAACATTATATAAATGGGGCCATATTAGGCTCGCATGTGACCTCCATCGGCTTGGCAATTAGGGCAAATTGAATTTGTAAATACTTCAGAATACTTCTATGTACTTAGTAACAAGTGCATCGCTTCTAGTAACAAGTGCCTTACTACTAGGAGCAAAGAAGCTACTAGAAACAAGAACCTACTAGGCGATACACTAATTTTGCGATGGCCGGTGGCCGTGGCCAATGGCCGGTGGCCGGCGCATGGCCAAACGAAAATAGTTTTTTGTGGGCGTGTACTTTCCGCAGCCCTTCCCCAAGGCTTCACCTCTTCTGGGCAACACAGTTCGCGCACACATCCTTTTTTTCGGCTCGAAAATTGCTCAAGCGTCTCAGACGTCTTGAAATTGGAGAGAACTTGTTCCCAGTGAACCAGACTCGCCACCCATATCATTGCAAACCAACGTGTCTTGATGCTGACAAACTTCTCAAAGAGTCTTGTACATGGCGTCAAAGTACAAATGCCCAAGAAGACAAAAAACGCAAGGACACATGCAAACCTTCGCAGCAGTACTGGTATGTGAAACATATCCTTGCCTCTCGTAGAGCTTCTTAGCTGGATTGTTGCTGACAACTTCAAGCTTTACAGTCTTACACTCTCGTTCGCGGGCCTTGCTATCCACCCAAGCAAGCAGTTTCGTGCCTAACCCTTTGCCGCGCACCTTGGAAGACACCACAATCCGCTCCAAATGACACGTGCCAGCGGATGGCTTT